AGCGCCGAGCTCGGGGCCGGGAGTTGCCGGGCCGGAAGATCTTGGTGTGCCCCTCCGGGGCTCGGCGGTGCCCCCCGGGGCTTCGAGGGTGTTTGGGGCCGCTGAGGGGGCCGGTGGGAGCGCACCTCCCGGCCCGGCCCTCTTCTGCAGGGAGCTGCAAGAGGGGCAGCCCTGAGCTGGGCCAGGGTGGCGGAATTATTGTCAGGGGCTGTTCATGGGGTTGTGTCCGGGGACTCCATTTAATTCTTTGCTTGAAACAGGAGTGTTGTTCCCTTGAGTACTTATCCTCCCTCGACCCCCTGGGCCCCAGCGGTGTACCTCAGGAGGACACACAGTCCAGAACCTCTGGCCGGGTTTCCCCAGTTCTTTCTGTAGTGCCAGGTATCTCGGGACATCATGGCTTCCCCAAGGAGACAAGGGCTGAGCTCAGCCCCAGATGTGTGCCCTCTCCTTCACCAGTTCCCTGGGGTTACTGCCCCAGGTGCTGTCAATGCAGGGTAAAGGCAGGATGGAAGGTCCTGTTGTGGTGGGAGTACAGTAATAATTTGTTTGCTCCAAGAGAAATTATTTATCAGTAGGTGTCCTGTCAGCTTCCCCAGTGCCTTGACTTGGTCTTACCACATCTCAGAAATGAGCTACGAGTTTCTCTTCTGAAACTTTCCAAAACAGTTTTTGAGATCCTCACGCCTCTGAGAATGGTATGTGGAAGCAGTAGTATTTCATCAGCCACAGCATGGGAGCCTCAATGTTTATAGATGAAAAGGGAGCTGCAGCATACTCTCCTCAAGACACTGGGCTGTGTATTATGAGTAGGCCTGCGGCAGCCAAAGAGAACTGTGCTGTGGAGGTGGAGGAAAATAGGTATGTTTTATTATTCATCACGCAAGACAGCGCCTTCAAATTACTGCTGTTCTGATTTGGGAACAGTGCATGTTCTGTGCCAGGAACTGTGGTAAAGGGGTATCTAACAGGTTGGCTTTTTTTCTCAAAGCAATCTTCTACTGCATGTACAATGTTTTTTCAACACCACTTAATTAGGTCCAAAATAGAGCTCTTACTGCATTTCCTTGAGACCCTAGTTCTTTCCACACTCCCTGCTGCTTGCAAGCCCCAAAGAGGGAGCAGAGCCAACTTAAACTACTACCACTGGTTAGTATGAACAAGTTGCCATGACTACAGTGGGACTGATCAGTAACTGAAGGGCATAAGGTAGTGGGGAGAGGAGTCACCTCCACTTCCCTGAGCAATACTTCACAAAAGCAAAGAGCACTGGCCGATTCCCATATGTGGTTTGCTCCTTCTTCCTGTTGAGCTCACTGCAAGATCATGTAGGTTGCTACCTGAACGTTTAAGTTTTCTATTGTTCATTTAAGAGTAAACCTTTAAGTTTATTCTTTTATTAGAAACTAATGTGGTATCAGATCCTGCTGAAGTCAATGAGAGTTTTTCTATTTATTTTTATTTAATGAAGTACCCAGGGGGGTCACATGGTGCTACAAGCCCCGCTTCCCTCAACCCTAGGTTTCAAAACAGGACATAAGTGATGAAAATATTGATAAATGGCTTTTAGACTTCACTGAAATAGGCTGTTGAAGGCAGGTTTCATCTTTAGCTTGAATTTCCATCTGTTGATACAACAAATCAATCTGAACTGCTTTATTGCTCAATACAGAACAATAGGGAACTCTCTGCACTGAGAGGCACTGAGTTCCCATAGGTATCCTTTAAAATACATCGCGTGTTCATATACCACAGTGATGAGCCTACTAAAAACACTCAGGTTGATAAAGTAGGAAACACTGAGAAAATATGAATTCCATTTCTCATGTAAAATTTCTTCTTGGTTTAAGTGCCTGAAAATTGTGGCTATGCCTTCATTTACTGAACAGGATCCTATAAAGTTCAGCATGTAATTCATGTGTATGGAAAGCAATTTATTGCTTATGACTTCTCCTGCATGCCTAAACAATGCCTAAGCCCCACATAAATCCTGATACAAGTAATATGTTATTTGGTCAAACAATTTGATAGATTTGCCTAGTTTGTTATTACAGGTATAAAGACCTGTGCTTTAAATTGAGAGCAAATACAAGAACAGGGCACTCTGGGAACTAATTTCCCAGGTCTCTGTGCTGCATAGAAATCACCATTTCTCAGCAATGAATTTGCCTAATAAAATGGGTACAGCGCTTCACTGGAAACATTTTTAAACAGCTAAAATTTATGTCCATATGCTTTTTACCTCTGCATGCACTCAGTTAAGAGAATACATAAAAGCTGCAGGCATTGGAAAGTCCATAAGTCATTAATGCAAGAACACAGTTTTAAGAATAAATGATTGGGGAATGGAAAACTTACATAACAACTCATGAAAACCAAAGAGAACAAATGGTACTTTTCTGAGTTCATGCGGTGAAATTTCACAGAATCACTGAGGTTGGAAGGGAGATCTGAAGCTTGTCTACTTGCCTACTTAAAGCAAGGTCAACTAGAGCAGTTTGCCTGGGGCCGTGTCCAGTCAGGTTGCAAATATCTGCAAAGATGGAGACCCCACAACTCTCTTAAGCAACCTGTTCCAAGGTTTGACCACCCTCACAGTAGAAAGGTGGAATTTCCTGCATTCTAGTTTTTGCCCATTGCCTCTGGTCCTATGATTGAGCACCAGTGAGAAAAGTCTGGCTCCATCTTCTTACTCCCTCCCCTCAGGTATTTATACATATTGACAAGATCTTCCCCAAGTCTTTTCTTGTCGAGGCTAAACAATCCCAGCTCTCCCAGCCTCTCCTCATATGAGAGGTGCTCCAGTCGCTTCATCATCTAGCCCTTCTCTTTACTCCAGTATGTCTATGTCTTGCTTGTACTGGTGAGCCCAGAATAAGACACAACACTCCAGATGGGGTGTCACCAGTTCTGGGGAAAGGCGAATAATTACCTCCCTTGACCAGCTGGCCATGCTCTTCCTAATGCATCTCAGGATCCTGTTGGTCTTCTTGCTACAAAGACAAGACTCATGGTCAACTTGGTGCCTACCAGAACCCTCAGGTCTCTGCAGAGCTGCTTTCCAGCTGGTCATCCCCCAGCCTGTACTGGTGCTTAGGTTATTCCTCCTGAAGTGCAGGACTAGAATTTTAATCTGTTGAACTTCATGCACAACCCATTGAGCCTGGCAGTTTGTTTGGCCACTTGTCAATTCATACCATTGTCAACTTATCTAGACCATACTTCATCAGTTTGTCAATGCCAGTGTTATGGGAAACAGTGATAAAAGTCTTGCTAAGTAAAGATAAACATCCACTGGTCTCCTCTCATCCACCTAGCTAGTCATTTTGTGTAGAAGGCTATCAGGTTGGTCAGCGTGGGAATACAACGGAAGATTGGCAAGGAGGATTGTAAACACACTCAAGTGACTTGAAGCCAGGGTGCCAAAAAAAACATATCACACTAACTGTTACTTAGCCCTGTGTGCTTGATGGGTAGAATGTCTGCATTTAGATAACATAGGCCTGTGAGAGACTAAAGGTACCTTATCAAACATCCTTAAGATTCCTGCCCTGCTGTTGGAAAGATCAAACCACAGTGGAAAAGTACACCTGCAAAAATCCCAGATACATACAGGCAAAAGCAGCAGGTTTGAGATGTTTTTCTGTCTTCAGCTTTTTCTGGCTAGCAAGGACCGAGCTCTGTTATGCCTGCATCCCCACTTGTGTGCCTCTGCCTAGTGCTGCTGTGGAGATTCCCTGGGTTGCAAGGTAACGAGAATAAATTGACTCTTTTCACTTCACCTGTGGTTTTGTTGTTGTTTCTGCATCCTGCCTGTGCTGGCTCACACAGTCAGACATGATTTTCCTTTTGTAAATCCACACTGTCTACTCCCAATCATTTCCTTGTCCTCAGTGTGTTTGGGATTGGTTTCCAGGGTTATTTGCTCCATCATCTTACCAGGGATCAAGGTGAAGCTAAATGGCCTACAGTTTCCTGGATCTTCCTGCTTGTCCTTGAAAATAGGAGTGACATTTGCTGTTTTCTATTTCTCAGGACTCTCTCCCAGTTGCCTTGGCCTTTTAAAGATAATCAAAAGCAGCCTTACAATGACATTGGCTAACTCTCTCAGCACTTGTGTGCACATGCTATCATGTCACATGGACTTGTATATGTCTGGATTTTTTAAAAGTTCCCTTACCTGATCACCCTCTACTGATGGATAAGTCTTCCTTGTTCCAGAATGTCCCACTGGCCTCAAGGGCCTGGGATTCCTGAAGGCAGGTCCTACCAGAGAACATCAAAATAAAGAAGACATTGATTACTTCAGCCTTTGTAATTTCATTCATCAGCAGGTCCCCTGCCCCCTTCAGCAGTGGACCCACATTTTCCCTAGCCTTCTTTTTGCTGCGGATGTCCTCATAGAAACCCTTCTCATTGCTCTTCATGTTCCTTCAACAGATTCAACTGCTGATAGGCCTTGCTTTTCCTAACCCCATCCCTGCACGCTCAGTCAGTGTTTCTGGGTTCCTTATAGGTCACCTGCTCCTGTTTTCACCTCCTGTATGCATCATTTTTATGTTTGACTTTTGTCATTAACACCTTGTTCATCCATGCAAGCCTCCTGTGACCTGTGCTTAACTTCTTCCACGTTAGGAGGGACCATTCTGGCACTTGAAGGAGGTGATCCTTGAAAACCAGTCAGCTGGATGTCTGGCTATTAATGTGAAAAACTATATTCAAGAGAGGTACAAAATATACCTGCCTCTTACAGACGAATTAGACAGTGAAACATTCTCTGTTTCACTGACTGGAGACTTAATTCTCGTATTTCCTTCTACTATGACTTTTGCAGGATAAATCAGATAAGGTTTGGAAGGGTTGGGGAGCATACTGTTTATGTGCTTTGTGCTGGTTTTTAACTAAACTTTGTCTACCATAACA